TATATATATATGTACACGTGTATATGTATATACACGTATGTGTATTGTGACACCCCGAGAGTAAGGCAGATCGAGAAAGAGACGCACCGCCGCGACGCATAACGATTATAAATACTATTATAATAAACCACCTCGTATTTCCGTATGCGGAGCTGTGCATTTCATTTCCTTCTGACTATCACGTGTTTTCCTTCGCGAGTGACGTTGCGTAGAAAAAAACAAAGGAATGTGGCTGATTAATTGCTTAAAGAGAAGAAGATTCGAGATCCAATCGATCCAAATTAAATCGAATTCTGCCTCAAGCAGGAATTAATAAAAATTAGAAAATTAAGAAATTCAATTGAAATATATATTAATTATTGTGTAGATACGATTGAACAATTGATTGAACTTTAAAAAAAAATATCGTTAATATTGTAGTAGAATTATTCAAAATTTAATGGGTTTAATTTTCTCTGTTTAGCCTATCGCACCAATAGCAGTTAATCTTAATCGCAGTTAGTCGATCAAGATTGACGACGTCATTGGTGCGATGGATCCTTCGAATTATGCTAATTAGAGAACTTGGGTAACAACAGTCAGGTATAGATAATGATAGACGCAAGAAATCACCTGGTGACGGAAGTTGACGAGGTAAGTGACCATTCAGATTTTTTATTAACGCGTGTCACCGTCTTTGATTTCCGCATGTATTATCGCCATCGATGTCCTTCAACATGTCCTTGTCACGACGATTGTAGTATAGCATTATCCTAGTAAGCAGCGACGTGAAATCTCACCGCGAATCCGACACGTGTCAAGAAAATCGTCATTTATCATACTTGTTAGTAGCGCGAAGCGTCAAGTCGGTCCCTTTAACACAAGGAGTTATCGATTTTCGGCGAGATAATCATGGATATCAAGAAAGCCAAGGTAGCTTGAAAAGAGAAAATCCGCGAATTGTTAATAAAGAGAAATCCCAACTGGTGGAGGATCCGCGAGACTTTGCGACAACACTCCATTTAAAACTGAAATCAATTTTTCTCTGTGTATTTTGAGAGGCGTGCAGTTTATAAATTGTGTCAGGTTTCTTGTGGATATTTGCATATTTGCTTTTGGGCGCTGCTTTCGCGTGCAGTTGTCGCGTTTGTATGCCGCCAATCAAGTGTGCCACATTACGCTGCATTACGTTACGCTATGTTAAATGTGTGTGTGTGTGTGTGTGTGTGTGTGTGTGTGTGTGTGTGTGTGTGTGTGTGTGTGTGTGTGTGTGTGTGTGTGTGTGTGTGTGTGTGTGTGTGTGTGTGTGTGTGTGTGTGTGTGTGT